GCGCACTAACTCTCCACTTCTATCTGTTCAGTTCATCCACGGGCAGTTCCATGCGCCACAGAGCCTCATTCGCCGATATTCGTTTCACTTGCTTCTAAAAAAAGATCAGTGATTATTTCTGGGCGATTCTAAGTTCCCTTCGGCTACATAGGGGTACGTCCTTGATGCTCATCTTATTTCTTTGCTACTGATACGCTCCGTGGCACAAAGTTCGTTTAAAGACAATCCTGCACGCATGCGCGTCTTTGTGCACTTGTTAGGGGAGGTAAGTTGGTAGAAGTTTGGAAAAGGTACAATAACTCGGTGCCTGAACGCGCTGCTGACTCCAGGGCTTCTCCGATGCAAAAGGCTGGTTCCTTAGCACCATATGCTTAGTGAATAAAGCCCTAAAAGCTTAATAAAGGTAAAACGTTGTCTTTTAAAGGTTGGAAAGGGTCTTTTATTTGATTTAGATGGAGTACTTGCGCACAAACCAAAGCGCGCTTTTGGCATTAACTCGCCCTTTCTTTAGGAAGCGTAGCGGCCACCACGTAGCGTGTTTCATTACAGCATAAGCTTTTCATCACTCGGCTTTGTTCGGAATGAAAGTAATGCTGTGAATTAAAGAAATGACAATATTTTCTATCAGCTTGAAGGTCCAGGAGAAGGGCCCTTGAGCTTGGCAAAAATCAGGCAAATCATTCATCATGCCACCCCGCACCTGTGGTCTTGGCATTCAAAGTATACAAACCTATTCCTATTAACCTTAATTATTCAAAAACGACACAATGGTTGAAATAGAGCAGGTTGAAGTCTGTTTATTGGTCGTAAATGTTTTTCTGAAGATCTCCTGAAGCTCTTTGTTAGCTCGTCGTTGAGTCTGGCCTCTTTCTTTCAGACGAGAGTAGCCTTGGACTTTTCCATTTTCAATCGTAACATCTGCTTAATCGTACGGATCAAAATATGGAGACACAAAACATATGTAATGGTTGATTTGTTAAATCCTGGTAATGAGTTATTAACAAGGGAAAACAATGGGGCAGGATGGTGAGAGCCTTATGGTAACAGAGTCACTTCATGTAACGCCTGACGTTTCCCTCCTTGATAAATGGAACTAAGATCTGAACGCCAGGTGATCGTAAGAAAATCAATGTCTTTAGGGGCCAGCACTAAGACCTTTTTTTCTATGTGAAAAATTAGAGGACATAAATTTAATTGGCTGATCAGCCTGAAGCTGTAGGCTTGAGTCTAATTGCTAGTAGATCTAGCCAGGGAGACAAAACGGGATTTTGGACTGTTTGCTGGCTCGCATTCGAGCTTTCAGCCCAAGTGTATCATTGAAAATGTGTTTTATTATAACAAATGTCATGCTTTACAGTTCCCATATTGTGTAAAGACAATAGTTAATGGTACATTAAAGACAAGAACACCATGCCAACACGTCTTGGAGACATTGTAAGGGCCTCTCTCTTTGCTTGTTTTAAGCAGCTGCAGTCCAGGACCCAGAGACACAAAAAGAACAAGTTTGAAATACCAGGTGCATCCGAGAGAACCACGACGGGGATGGAAATGTTACAGCCTAGGACATGAACCTAGCAATAAAGATATCATTTCAATTGTTAGGAGCTTCCACGCCATGTAAAACGAGAGGCGCCAGAGCTGCCTGCTTTCTGGCAGCGATACTTTCCCTCCCTGGGCTGCCCTGCAAGCCAGAAATCTCCCTCAGCCAAATCCGAACACCTGTTGGCCAGACCTCACATCCAGTCGTGGGAATCGTTTCCTTTGAATGATTCCAGATATGTAAAATTTGTTGTGGAATTATTTTTCCGGCCATTCCCACAAGCTGTAGAATGCGTGGTTGGAAGGGATTTGCTCACGAGGGTGTACGAGGGAGACTCAACTGGTGTTTGTACAGCCTCGCAGCTGGTACTCGATGCCACAGAAAAAAAAAATACATTGATGAAAATGTGATGAGTTCGTGGATTTAAGGGGTTTCACACCCTATATATTTAAGTGCGATAATCCCAATGTTAGCAGATTCCAAGCTTATGGGAATTTTATTAGGAGCGGTTCTCAGTGCCTGACCAGTTTAGCGCGCATTGCTGCTCGCGAAGACAGCGCGTTTGTTTTGCTCTTTCAGCGTTTTTTTTAAATATAAATATTTATCATATTTTGCCCCATTTAGGTTTAGCGACAACATAAATATCAAAACTCTTTTAATCAATGATACTGTATTTCAGATTTGTACTCCGCCATGAATACACGGGATTTAAGGAGGATGGAACTCCTTGGTAGTGATGTTAAATTTGCTTTTTATAAATTTGCTCGCAAACAATGGAAAACACACCTTTGTAAATGTTGGAAACGTAATCTATACTACTGTTGATGTTTCTTCAAAGAGAGAGACTAGTTAACGAACTCCTAAAACATAAACACCAATATCACTATATCTTCACATAACCCAGCCAGATTGACTATGATTTTAAAAGCAAATAAATTAAATTTAATTTATGTGATGTGTTTATTCCCCCCACTCTTCTATTTATAAATATTTTTGGTGAAGTTTCCCCAATCATTTTTAATCATAACATAGAGTCTCCGAAACTGAAAACGTACATTTTACAATTTACAGCAGTTATAGTTTTTTGGGGAAAAAACATTTGATAACCACGTGTATTTAATCGTCTTATTAAAATTAAATATACTGTACAGCATTTACTCGACACAAGAAACGATAAGAATAGTTTGGGAAAGGATGCGCCTGCCCTTAAGTGTAGGGTTTTTACATGTTCCATATTATTTACTTTTTTCTATGAAACCCCAGAAAATAACTTCTCTGAGTGCGTTTTTCTAAGAAAAGGCACGGTGATTAGAGAGTGGCTGAATAGTTGTCTTTCATGGCTGCCCACACGCTGATGCTCACAATACCCTGCAGCACACTTACTGACCAGTACAAACTCGACTTGCATGCCAAAGTCGCTCATTCACTGTGCAACAGGTATTCAGAGAGGTCTAATATTTTGACAAAGTAAGACCTAGCACGGCAAAACCTTTTAAGTCCTATAGTCAAACCAGCTAGCCGAAATGAAGCTTGGTGAGGGACGGCGACAGTATGAATGTTTAATAGCGTAAGCAAACGATAAAACCTGTCAGGCTTTGAAGAGAGCGCTTGAACGAGTTGCCAAGCTAGAGCACGAGAGTGACAAGATAGAGACCCTGGCGTTTCACGTTGGAAGCTCAACCATTCCGCTTGATCGACATCGTACTAAAGGATGTGTTGGAGTATTGTGCTGGCAAAAACACTGCCTCTCAATAGCTATAGGTGCCCATAAACAAAGATTGCAGTGTTGTTTCATTGTGCGGTGCCACTTTACCAAATCAAATTGAAATGTTGCCTCGACAAAACAGAAGAAGCCAGTACAAGACTTTCAATCTCCTTTATTAGGTTAAAGTCTGACTTGCTAACATTTGACTTTATAATGAATGTAATGAGATTACATGGCTGATTGTATCGCGTTTCAGACGCGAACTTCTGTGCTGTTAGTGCTGTTAATGAGGCTCTAATGCATTACGAAATCAAATTATTGAAATTTTGTGAATGCACACCCCTTGCTTTACTATGTGCATCGGGCAGAGCGTGTTTAATAATAATACAAATAATAGATTTTTAGAACGTGTTGTTACAATCACATAATAATTGACACTATTTTAGTTATGTCTGAAAGCTAGCGTTATTTACGTACCTGTTAATTTACTTCAAAACAGACATATGTACACTAACCAATAAGGATAAAAGGCTATCGAGTGATACGGAACGCGGTCATTTCTGTTGAACTAATGTTGTATATCTTTTTCATTCAATGTAGGAAGTTAGTAAATGAAATAATTATACCTTCAGCTCGGTGTTCCAGTTCGCATCCGCTCCCGAGATTTTACTTTCCAAAACCTGCATCGTGGGTGACTGGTGTGCAAGTGAATGTCTACGCATGGACATCTGTCCTAGTCTGGGACTACCTCTTAACTCCTAGGGTAGCTGACGTAGGAACAGCCAGCAGGGCCGCAGAACCAGGACTGGTACCACGGGAAAACTCTCTCCTGGCGCACCTGCCGAGTAGGGAGATAGTCATGCTGCTGCGAACTGGGTTTGTCATGCTTCTTTGAGCAATTTAATTAACCTTTCTTATCCAAATCAGAAATGGCTGGTTTCTTAATCAGGTAGATTCCGTGGCACAAATAAATGACCATATTATATCCATTTTTTTTAAAGTGATATGCAAAAAAGCTTATGTCAGTCTGCGTCTTTTCCCAGTTAGGATTTTGCATTACTGTGCTTTGAGCAAAGCGTTTTTCCAAAGAGCTCAGACTCCAGCGCATTTGCTCTTATGCCTATATTCTGCAGTGGAGCACGTCATTCATTTGAAACAAAAACAGTCTGAGTATGTAGTATAAACTTTATTATAACTTAGAAAACGCTTGAACTAATGGAACCATAGCCTTAGTTGTCTCCCTCCATTATTAAAGCTGTCCATAAGAAACAATGGAATTAGTCGTATAAAAGTACAGCTCTGAATGCAGGAAACTAATTTGATATGCATTTTATTTCCAATGCACTCCAAAGATAAGTGTTAGATACCAGGGGCATTTTGGTGCTATTGATATGCAAATTGACTTTGTAACTCTAAAGTCATACATATAAAGCTGTTATTTAACATAATTGATAAGGAGTGTTTAAAGGGGTGGAAACTATTTCTTCCACATTACGGATTACTAACAATCTAATTTGAAATAAAGGTGTTTATTTCTTAAGGAGAACTCAAAATCAAACCGGATTTTGTGCTGGACAATATGGTCAACTACGTGGGTAATGTTGGCTTAATGTTTTATAATGGATAAAACGTATAATCCTTCCATCTTTTTTTGAAAATGATTCCATTTTTGAAAATGATTTGGATTCACAACAGAAAATACAACGAGTACACGTTATTGATCGTTTTTATTTCGCAAATCACACAAGAAAAATAAATAATTTCAAAATATTCTTAAAAATTCCAAAATATAGATCTATATTTCCCTTACTTACACGTAGCAAAAGTTTATTTTTAAATTAAATTAGATCATATATTATTGATTAATTGAAAACAATTAAATACAAATACATTCAGTCTCTATGATTCTAGATCATGTAATCTCTTCAATAAATACAATAAATACATTGATTGCCATTGGCTTTTTTTCCCCATTTAGATTGAACAGCTTTGAAAACCTCAATATATACACACCTTTACAATCAATCATCTGTACATTCGCTTATTTACATCCACATCATTAAGTTAGTTAACACACAAATAACATCATTCCCAAGAAGGCTCGGGAGCTCCTATGATATGAATTCAAATGGAGGTTCATTCTCAATGTTGTTCAAAGAGGATTTTAAGTTTAATTTCCGTGGGTCCTCTGGAGTCCAGACCTTCGCGGTCCTGATGATATTCTGCTCCTTCAGCTGCTTCTCATCCGTCCAGGACAGAGAATGACCGGCTAGCGGAGGAAGCCCATAGTCGGGATCACTCGGAGACGGAGATCCTGAGAAGAGAGATAAACCGGTTAGTATCGCGCAAACAGCGTCTGTTTAAAACCACGGTGAAGCAGAAGCATTGTATTCAATAGCGGTATTTCAAAAAACGAATATCTAAAGCAGGCGTTTCAGACTCACTCTCCGAGGGCCTTTCGTCTGCTGCTTGTTGTCCCAAATTGAATACTCAATTAAACAATTAACCGAATTATTTACTACGTCAGGCATATATATAGGAGTTTGCCTAAGGTCTTTTACAGCTGATTACACCACACGTCCACTCCATTAAAGGTACAGTTACCTGTAATGCACCCCCGATCCTGATTAGAAGAATTACCATTACGCAGCTCATTAAATCATTAGACTAGCTATATAACTGAGAACTTGAGAGGACAAGTTCACACAATAACCAGCAGACAGAAGTCTCTCCAGAAACTGTATTTGAGACCCCCTGATTTAAAGTTTACCTGCCTACGTCTAAGCTTTTTGAGAACTCGCGAATTTAGCCAAAGCACACGTTTGGTGCTGATCTCGTTTCCGCGGGACTGCGGCGGTGCAAGCTTGGGGTTTGTCTCGGTAGTGCTCTTGTTGCTCTCGAACGCACTCACTTGTGCCCCGGTGACAGATGATGACTTTCTTGGGCTGGCTGGACGCATCGCTGTGGCTGTTCCGGATAGGCATGTCGGACTGCACCAGCTCTGCGAGGAAGTTAATGTAGCCTATGGCCAGGCGCAAAGTGTCGACTTTGGAGAGTCTCTTCTCGTAAGGCAGCGTGGGGATGTGGGACCGCAGCCCCTCAAAAGCGTCATTAATGGATTGCATCCTCCGGCGCTCCCTGACATTGGCAGCCTGCCTCAACTGTTGCATTTCGGCCTCTGATCTCAATCGCCGCCGCCTCTTCAGCAGCGACCCCTCTCCTTTCAGCTGGGGGGACATCTCGGAAGTGCTGTCCGCGCAGCTGTAAGAAAACGTGGACGACGAGGAGGAGAACGAGAAGTTGCCGGCGTCGCAGTACTCCCCATCGTGCGCCACCACCCTGCTGTCCTGGTAGTAGTCTTGGATCTGGCTGGTCAGGAAGTCCACGTCTTCGTCCAGGAACTCGTCCGTGTCCAAATGGTCGCGGGAGGACTGATCTGTAAAAAAATCCTCTTCGTCGAAATAAGGGGAGGAGAAGGAGTCCAGCCCCGTGAATTGATCCAACACTGTGTCCATTTTTCCCCCCTCTCTCTCTCTCTCTCTCGACTCGTCTCCCTGTTGCCCAGTAACAGCGGTTGCCTGCTCTTTGCTCTGTCTTCTGGATGTTCAAGAGTTGCTTCAGCTGAAGGCTGGCACGCGAGGACTCTTATAACTACATCCACAGTCGCGTGCCATTAACCAGAGGCGCCAGCCAATCAGAGCCCAGGCATCCCTGCGCTGGGAGCGAGGGATACACACCTAGAGACAGCCTCTGCGGCCGCCGGCCGGCCGGCCAGATAGCGCTGAAGTTCACTCCGCAGTCGGTGTGCGTCCGGCAAAGCGGCACACAAGAGGTTGTTGTGTGGGGGGTAAAGGGTATTTTTTTGTGTCTGCTTAAGACATTGTGTTACATCACCCGAAATATCCAGAGGTTAAAAAAAAAACAACCAAACCAGACTCGCATTCTGTTCTGCCTCGGGAAATACAGTCCTGTTTTCCAATTGCTCATCTGTACTTTTGACTTTTACGTTTGACTTCGTCATTTAAAGCAGCCCCTCACTCAATCCGCTACATCAAACACGAGTCATATCTTAATAAACGCGTCTGTAAAGCTTTGCCGGTGTGCGCCAGTCATATTTATTCCAAAAGTTTGGAAGTCGCGTTAGTTGTGAATTGAATGGAATAGTCTGCCTTACAGTATGGTTAATCATCTTTATCGGGAGCTGCAGGCATTTAATTTTAAAAACCCACATAAGGTTTACGCGCATGAAAGAGTTTTATATCTTCTTCTGGAAAAAATGAGCACAACTCCACCGCGTCAAAGCATCGTATGACAAAGGGAAGTGTTTGGGGTTTCTCCCAATAAACATGTGGGAAAACATGGCATATTCTCTCAAAATGACCTCTAAAGGCCGAGTCTGAGCGCCTGTCTTCCTGGCGAATGGAAACTGCAGGCCGGCAGCGGAGGCCCCAGGTCTTACAGCAGGTGCACCACCGAAGCGTCGTCAAGGTCCGGCGCGTCATTGCCATTAAAATCACCACCTACTTTTAAAAGTTCGGCTTCACGACCTTTGCATTTTGAATTCGACGCGTGAGAAGCTTCGTTCCGCGGTGGTCGGTTTTATTTAAGGATGTTCAACACCGACGCACAATGCTTTCAACGGGAGCTGATTCTCTTAACGCGAGCAGATGCAACTTCCTTCTGCTTACTACCCGTGCGCCTTGGGCATGGGTAGTAGACCATCGCTTTCATTCAGCGCTCCTTCTAACGTGCTAACCATTTCTGAACACTTTAAAGGCAGCTTGGTTATCACCTGTTAGCTGGATAAGTCAGGGAAAGAGTTCCTATTATTAACCTTCGACGGCGCCTAAAAACAGTGTCATAATACAGGTAGGTCTCCGTCACACAATACTACTAATCCCTGCAGCGTGCTGGAAGAAGCTGCTGCATCGACTACCTAATTAATTGTCTGGGCATCCGCCTTCACTTTAACTCTTTTCTGGCTTTGCGCACAGACCTATACAATGTAGCACAAACATTTGTAAAAGACTGACCCCATTGAAAGGCATCGTCCTTTAAGGCTAAAACACATAAGGGGAAAGGAGTCCTCATCAATCACGAGTTTTACGGCGGTGGTTTGCGCGATTGTGTCTGTGCAGTGGACACTTGCCTGTTCATGCAGCAATCAACGGAGAATGGGAGACTACTTTACTGACAAAGCAGGGGCGTTCCTTGCTTTTCAAAGGCAACTACTTTCAGTCACCGTGAACGGCTAATTTATGACAATAAGGTGTCTCTATCTTTAAAAACCCTGAAAGGAACACATAATGAAACGACCACAAAACACGAGCGGAGTGGACACTTGCTACATGACCAAAGGTCCACCAGAGCATTTGTTTCTAAAGAGGGTCTCCATCTCTAAAGATTGCTTTTTATGAAGCCAAAAGAGTCTCATTAAACTTGTGTTTAGAAACCGCGAATCGACTATTTGAATGAATAGAAATGACAAAAAGGAAGAACCTAATATTGGAAAGATGTTTTTTTTTTTGTACAAATAGAGAAAAAAAAAGGCTCAAGCTTAAAGCGCCGGTAAATGATGGGAGAGGATTATCACTTATCTGGGCTAATGGGATGTTTCTGCAAATTAACAGGCTTTTGGAAACGGCACTCAAATTGATGCTTCTAATCTGCAATCATTGTGATCGCACGTGTTTCGCACAATCAGATGGGTAACAGTTTTGCAGAAAAAGGAGCAGATAAGACTATTAATGCAGTTATCCAAGACAAGATGAAAAAAACCCAACACTTTCACATTTCAGACTTTGGAAATATGAATCCAAATGTCCTTGAGAATCACAGAAACCAAATTGTATTTTTCCGGACATCTGGTGCAATATGGGCGTTTTCTTTAATCAGGGTCCTTGACGATATAAGAAATAGGTGATATGGCGAAAACGAGAGAAAGGATAAAAACTGCTTAACGCTTTGGATTAAAAAGTTGAACAATGCGGATCATCATTGGTATTGGAACGCCTTATTAGAACAGAATTTCGTATAATAAAACTACGTCTTAAAGCACTGGAAGCCTTTTCCACCGTGGTAATGTGTTAGAGAATAAAGGCAGACCAGTGTACAGTATGTAAGGTTAAAGCTTTTAAATGTAGAGCAGTGGTTTAATATTCGACAGAGGACGTCTATTGCTGCAAGGTAATTTACAATTGGTGACTGATTAGACCCAGAATCATTAAAATAACTCTGTATTGCACCTCGTTTTGATATTCGCAAACGGTTTCGATTTTGACCTTATTCGAGGTGCATTTACATTTGTTCGTGTTTTCAATAATTTATTAAACGGGTATGACTCCGGATTATTGGCTAAATGGAGTGTTCCTCGTCGCCAGTGCTTATTTTTAGGTTTGTTTCGTAAAATGCATTTCTCTTCTGACAGGTTCACTGTCAACAGAAGAGTGGTTGGGGTGCGTCATGCGGACGGAACTGTTTTTAACAGCAGAGACAAAACTATGGTTTTCTGAATAATCCCAAATCAACGCAGGTATTATTGAAATAATACTAGGTAGTTATTCCAGTCTCCGATAACTCGGTGGCACTTTAATCGTACAATTGACATTTTTGGGTCAAATTTAAGAGTTTTCATCTTTGCGTGACTGACAAACTACGGTAATGTTACTTGGTGTAATATCGTTTTTTTTGGCTACTTTCGTAAAAACTAAGTGACATAAAAAATAATTTTCTGACAGATACAGTTTGCCGAAGCTGCATGAAATGGTGCCAACATTTATTTAACTTATGGAATCGTTTGAACCTTTTTCCAAAACGTGTCTGAGCATTTCGTTTTCTATTTTGCGAAATGGTGTATAAACACAGCCGCTATCAACTTGTTGAGCCATAGTTACAAAAATAGGATTAAAATCATATTGCGATCTATAGCCCTGATTGTTGCCTCTTTAAAATCTAACAGTCCAGCATACTGATAAACCTGTCAACGGCTGGTGAAAACGTAGAATAGTTTTCATTAGATTATTCTGGGTCAACTTTGGAGTAATAAAAAAAAAAACTTTTATCTCAAACTTATACATTTAATGTTTCAAAGCATTTACATTTTAGGTGAGCGACAAAACACTGAATAGATCTATAACGAAACGTTTGAAGTCTTTTTGGGGCCAGAATTGTACGCTCTTATTCTTGGGTCTGTTATTCGTCATTTTATTAATGGTTGCCCTAAATGGAAAGCTTTTTCGTGCGCTTTTAAAACGTCCTTTCTTGATATCACATGCGTATTCCGCTTGCGGCAATTATCCACATCCTTGAAAAACTGGTGGGGGGGAACACCAGTGTAGAAGCAAAAGGTTATTTACTGCACTATGTACGGTTTATTATGAAGGTGCTGGTGTAGCAATAAAAGCTGTGTGCCCTCACAGTAGTAGCCAAAGAGGCCGTCTGTCAGACACCTCAAAACAAATTACGCTGGTACCTGAGCTTCTTACTGGTAGTGATCTATAAACAACTCGTATTCACACTCATTCATGTCAAGACAGTGGGGGTCACTTTGTTAGGAACAGAAAGCGGAGTCTGAAAAGTGCAGAAGCGCGCAGCACCGAGGCAAGCTGCACCGCGAACGCCGGTCCGTGGGAATCCGAACACTTGCTCAGCTCCAGTCACTGAAACACCCAGCCAACTTTATAAATGAGCTGCGCTCGCTTTGCAGCTTGTAAGACAAATAAGTGTTTGGTACAGTGGAGACGCTTGAGGTCCCCCCCCCGACTTTGTTTTCGGGGAAGGAGTCAGTGAATAGATGGCTTATTTCTCAAGATTAATGCATCAGGTTCTGCTTAGCGCTGAAACATTACAATCGGGTCGGCTGAGAGACGAACAAGTCAGTTTTTATAAGGAAACCTGGAGGCTTTAATTGTCACACTCAAACATTTAGGCTATTGTCCAGTTTTAGAAATTCCGTGTTTCCTGGAGAGAAATAACCTCTAGTTTCTACATGTTGCAACAACTACACAAGACCTTTCAGATTTCCTGGGTCTGCCGCGTTCTGGGTTTTAACCCAGTTTGTGCTCATAGAAACAAGTTTTTATATAAAGGCTGCCCTTTTAATTAACATAAGTTGATAAAACACACGGCACGATATTTATTTTGTTTTTCTACATTTTTTTAAAAAATTAACTCAAGCATTACAGAGCTTCTGTTCCATCTGAAACGTTTTGTTTTGAGAGTGGGTTTCGAGTGCAACACTCTGCAGAAGCGGTCTGGTAAGGGACTTGAAATCGTTTTTATCGTTACGTTTTTTATAGGTCTATCTACTGTTCTCACAAAACATTGTCAAGACGTGTGGCGCCCCGTTCAAGATGCAAGAAGTTATTCTGCCGCACATATTTACTGCACTGTCGTTTAGTTCACTGCATCTTTATCAGCCCTCCTGAAGGCTTCCAGGTTACCAACTTCTCACAAAACTCACTTTGAACTGTGAAAGCCACTACAAAGGGTAATACATTTCAAGATTAGTCAGATTTCAAACTGTATTACAGGTGGACAGGCAACAGCAAGCAAGAAATACCACAAGCCGATGGTACTGTTTTCACACTGCTCAGAGGTTGTGTGGGTGCACTGTTTACCCCGGGAAGATCGATAGTTGCTGCAATTAAATATATAATCAAGGTGCCAGAGTTTGGGACACAATATTGTAACCAGTTTTTGCAAATTCATGTAGTCATTTATTTGATATGCGATTCTATAATGTGCCAATTGTTTCTGATCATGTTCACATATGTGAACTATATCTTAAAATGCTGAAACACACGGATATGCCGTGTTATATCGATTAGATGTAGTCTTTCGGCTTGCCCGTGGCACTTAGCTCCACCTTCTGGTACTTAAGTGACTTGCGCATTTTATTTGTTTTTACTTGCGCGTTTGCAGACCCGTCACGAATTATAAAATGCATCATCCGTGGAAAATTATACATCGGTCTATACAAAACATGAATACAAAATCAGCGTTGAAAGCAAAACCTAAAACACACATAAAAAATAAAATAATCCACGCCTTCAAAAGTGAAACAAAGTTAGTGGTAATATAATTAAAGCTCGCATTTCGATAATGCTTTCCATTCCGAGGTGTTTCACATACAGGAGAGTTCTTGCGTCATTAATCGGGAAGAGCAGCTCCCGCCTGCGACCATTCTTAACGTGCAATGCGGCACAATACTGGCTTCGTCTTACCAAAAATATGAAACTTTTTTGTCATTGTGTTGCTCCTGTTTGAATTCGATCGTCTTTTGACTGTCGCTCTCACGTCTCCTTTAATTCCCCCAGACGACACAAATCACAAGGGTGCGACCCAGGGGCCGAGTGACCCTTAAGAGGATTACCGCGCTGAAAAAGATAATAGGATATTGCATCTTCCTATCGACAGAAAACTGCTCGAAATTGTAGCGTTTTTATTCCTAACATTCTGTAAATGTGTTTTCCGGTATGGAAAATTGAGTCCTCTTCAGATTGTTCTACTTTAATTTTAAAGTCCATAGCAACGATGTAATATCATTCTTTACAATTATCATGAAGTCCGTTTTTTTGCTAAATAAATTTAAGCTGGTACAGATGGCTTTGCATAAGGGATTTATTTTCTCTTCCACTGTCACTCATAACCTTGATTGGCCTTGTCTAACACATGTTCTTGTGAGGAGAGGAAAACCTATACAGGATATACGACTGCTTTAGGCTCTTATTACTGTAAAAAAGGAGGAAAGAATCTGTTATTTTAATATAATGAATGTATATTTTCATATAAATTTAATCTAAATACCGACATTTTTAATAAAAAAGATTATTTATATAACAAAGAGGATCTTTTGTTCAGAGATAAAGGGTGAATTGA